AGCTAAGATCTGGAAACAGCCCAAGTGCCCATCAGTGGATGAGTGGATAAAAAAGCTGTGGGACATTTACACCATGGAATACTACGCAGCTGTAAAGAAGAAGAAGGATTTTGTACCCTTTGGGACAGTATGGATGGACCTGGGGAAAATTATGCTAAGTGAAATAAGCCAGGCAGAGAAAGACAAATCACATGATNCGAAATAAATCAGGCAGAGAAAGACAAACATCACATAATTTCACTTACATGTGGAATCTAAAGAACTTAATAAACTGATGAACAGAATAGATTCAATGACATGGAAGCATGGATCAGACTGACGAATGTCAGAGGGATGGAGGAGGGCAGATGGGTGGAGGGGGAGAGAGTAACCAAAGAATTTATATGCATATATGCACAACCCAAGGACACGGACAATGATGGGGAGAGGGACTGGGGAGGGGGATGGGATGGGGTGGAAAGGGGCCTTGGGGAGGAAAAGGGACATCTGTAATATTTTACAAAACAAAACAAAAAAAAGCTGTGGGACATTTACACCATGGAATACTATGCAGCTGTAAAGAAGAAGGATCTCACACTGTTTGAATAATCTTGAAGTGGTCTTTTCAACTGAAGTTTATGTATTACACTGGTTCACGGAAATAGTAAAGAATGAGGCGGTTAAGGAAACATAATTTGTCACCACTAACTCAATGGTGGCCCCACCTATCAGAACCAGTGTATGATTGTGTAAATATGCAGTCACAGGACTAGAAACCTGGGTTTTCATCCTGACTATGCTGTTAACTAGCGTTTTACTATTTAAAATAAATAATTTACTATCTACCATTGACTGGATCTTAGTTTTCTCACCTGTATAGTAAGCAGTTGGGTGGACAGCAAATATAACTCTTCTTGTTCAGGGTTTCTATGAAAATCAGCTCCATGGATAGAGTTGAGACCAGGTTCTCAAACAAGCTCCATGTTCAGTAATTTGTTAGGATTATCTTACCCAGAGATGATAACTACACAGCACTGTACTTCATATCCCCTTTCTGTTCCCATGGACATTACAAATAGACCACAATACATAGCCCTATTGAGTCAATCAGAACTCAGGGAGGGTCAGAATCTAAATACAACTTTATTTTTACATAATGACTCAGACAATCATGACCAAATAATTAGAGATGGTGCTCAAATTGAAAACAATTTGCTATCTTATCATTAGGAGAATGACTATATTGAAGTCAACAGTTCCTAGTATAGCTGTGAAGAGCACTCGCATCCTGTCAGCCAATTTTTCCCATCCCTAAAGGGTTCTAATATGTCATCAGTTCCGCCAGCATAAAGTAGTTGCTGGTATCCTGGGCATACCCCAAATGGATCAATTAGCTTTCAGTCAAAGGGGCCTGAATATATAGCATTCATTTTCTTCTTTATAAAGCCCACTTGCATCCTGAGAGGAGAGCCGTCTGCAAAAGCAACAAACTCAGACATTCAACAAGTATAGGAATCAGGGACTTCTTGATCTCTGTGCTCCCACCCACTCACTTTCTTATTACCTACATCTATAGTGGCTTAGAATAGGAAATCTGTGTTTGTTTCAGTTCTAATGAAAAGTCCTAACAATGTTATTAGAAAACTGTGATGGATTTTAATCTGATGACAGCTTGTGACCCACAAATTGCTGTTTAAAATTAAAATGCATTGAAAATGAGACTGGCAAGACAACTACAATATTAAACTTGCAATCTGCTGTAAAAAACACCTATCGAAAGAACCATATTAAATATGAATATAATTAATTTCTATATAGCATCTTGCAACTGAAACCTGAAAAAAAAATAGCCCTTCAATACACTGCCTTATTAAATTCAAATTGGTTGAAAAATCTTTTTTCTTTTTCAAATTGAGAAGTCAAAATAGAGATGGATTGGTTTGTCTTTGGTAATACACCCTTTGGCTGAGCTCCAGGTAGAATCTAGTGCTACAGACTTTCAGATATCTCTTTTGATAAACAAAAGTCCTCTATTTACATTATCCCAAATGCTCATCTATAATAAATGCAGAAATGTTTTCCACCTCCTTAATTTTAAGTTTATTTATAACTTTTATGGTATACTCAAGATATATTAAATGTGATCTTTAGAATTGTTTATACATTAGTTTAAAAAAAATAACCACACTGATATTTTTGATAGATCAGCTAATTCATTTCTAAACTTGGTAAGAATTGAGGCGCTTTTTCTGGTAGTGAATGTTTGTATTAGTGTTATCATTAAACATTAATATAAATAAAACTCAACCCAATGTATATATTTTCATCCCATATTTCAACATTAAAGAATTGCATGTGGTAATAAAAGGATTCACTACAGCTGTTTGCAAATAATTTAATGACCAAGTCGTAGCTATTTCTAGTTTTCAAAAGGTGCCAAAGAACTATTTAATTTTCCACAATATAACATCATAACAATTAACATGTGTACCTAATTATAGCCTTAATGTTCCTATACATTGCTTGTTCCAGAGATTCACAATACACTAAAATAGCATTAGCTAGAAATAAGAAAGTACCATATTTCACTCTCATTATTGCACATAGAAAAAGACTCACCCACTCTTTTTAAAAGATACCATAAGAATTGTAATTTCACAACCATTATTTTTATTCATTACCCATGGAACATAGTACATACTCAATAAATGTTAGCTGAAAGAATGAATGCATGTGTGATTGGATGACAAGCAAACTCAGGGAAAACACCTAGTCCTTGGTCACTACAGGACTACTGCATGGACAACTGCTGTCGCAGCAGGATTTCTAAAATCCCTCTGCCATATTCTGTTTTGGCTCACGTGCGTGCAAAGGTGATAAAGGAGTCAGTCCAGCAAGACCTTGCATTACATAGAAGCTGCATCTATCCAAAAAAGCAGGGCCATTGCATATGATTTCACCAGGTACTTCCTAAGCTTTGCTTTCATAGGAAACCTGATATTGGTTCTGATATCAAATATGTTTATATTTAGGAGCAGTCTCACTGTGACTCTTGGCTAGATCTCATCAATTCCTTCCCAGGGACAGTGCCTACCCCGGGGTTGTCAGCTTCGAAACTGTGATTGGATTTTTGTTCAGTGCCCTAGGACGCTGACCATGATGCTGAAAGAGAAGACAGGTTCCTATTTTAAGCCTTTCCTTCCTCTTATTGGTTTAGAAAATTCGAGCGACAAGAGCAGGGGCCAGAGGAGCCCGGGGCGGCATCCTTAACGTGAACCCGTCTTTGGATCTTGGGAGCGGAGATGTGGTCCGCCAGGTTACAGCCAGCGTGTCCCCCTGAGCTCCCGCTACACCCGGAGACCTGACTGACGGAGCCGCTGCAGTAGAAACGGTGACTCGAGCAGGATGGCTCGTCTGCCTCCCGAAAACGCGGGCGGGCCAGCGCACAGCCTGGAAGCGGGGTCGGGAAGTCTGGGCGGAGGGGAGGGGAAGGGGCAGCCAACCTGTACCACGCTGCAAATGTTCACCACGACTCGTACGGGGTCAGGAAAAACCCAGGGCTGATTTTCGCTTAAGTTTTGGGCCCCAGCCTTCCAACAGGTGCACGGCTGCCGGGCCCCTTCCCCGCCGGCGCCGTCCTGCGGGGCCGCGCTCCGGCTTTCCCGCGAGGCAGGCTCTGCCTAGAGTCCGTGCGCCGGTGCCGTTTCCTCCCGGTCTCGCCGCAGCTCCGCCCCGCCCCGCGCGCCCGCAGCCCCTTACCTGCGGCGCGCAGACCGAGGAGCAGGCACAGCGCCGGGAAGCCCAGCGCCCCCCGCATGCTGTCTGCC